GTCCCAAGACTTCTTGGTACCGTCCCAAGACTTTTCCGTACTGTCCCAAGACTTTTCGGCACTGTCCCTAGACTTTTCGGCACTGTCACTAGACTTTTCCGCACTGTCCCAAGGTTTCTTGGTACTGTCCCAAGGTTTCTTGGTACCGTCCCAAGACTTTTCCGTACTGTCCCAAGACTTCTTCGTACTGTCCCAAGACTTCATCGTACTGTCCCAAGACCTTGCCACCCAAGTGTTGGGACAATCGGATCTCTTCTTCTTGGTTGTTGGGACTCTTGAACCACTATCCCTGGTACCACCACTTGAGCTCTAGTATAAAAATTTCCCCTTACTGGCCTAAAGTTTCAATTAATAACCCCCCTGTATTTATCTCCCCTTATTAATCTGATGCAAGTTGAAACCCAACTTGTTCGCAGGTGTCTTGTGATCACCTGTTCGTTGAAAACCGATAAAATTAGTACCGAAAACGTAAAAACTTAAACGAGAAAAAATTGATAAAAACAGAAAGATGAACCCACCTAAAATTCAAGACCTATCACTCAAGTGTTGGGCTACCTCGCACTGTCCCAAGACCCTCTTCGCTCTAGTGTTGGGACACTTCGCACTGTCCCAAGACCTTTTCTAACTGTCCCAAGGCTTCTTCGTACCGTCCCAAGACTTCTTGGTACTGTACCAAGACTTTTCCGTACTGTCCTATAACTTTCCAGTCAAGTCTCCTAGTGGTCCGGTGAAGTTGCAAGCTATCTGAAAATCCTTAACAACGCCCCACACTCGGGCACCTGTATAATTAGCTGAATTGATCGAAACGATCGGTCTTATGAAAACATTATGGGTATACTATTTAATTAATATAAAGGTTTGATCCAAGTAATTTGGTGTCAATGTCACTGTCCTTTTTTGTTTTATGGTTTTTGTTCCTTTTTCTATTCTTTCTCTGTTTTTGTTTCGCTTTTTGTCTTTTTTGCTCGTTTTTTTGTCCCTCTTGTTACCCCCCCCCCTTACTCGGTTAGCTAGGCCTCGTTCGGAGAGCGTACCAGGAAGTTTTCTTGAGTTTTCATAAGAAGCTATCACGGTACAACCGGAAGGTTTACACGTTCCCGCTGAATCGTACCACAGGTACACTGGAATGGGCATGTAGCACGGAGCTGTGTCAAGTGGGTTCGACTCCGTAGTCATGAGGTGGGAAAAACACCCAGGAGCACCATAAAACACTATGTAACAGTCGCCTACTTAAGTCACATGTGAGGTTAAAGAAAAATGGGCTGTATAACCATTGGCTCAAGAGTCAGGGACACTATCTCTTGTGTTTTTCTACCTCGAACGGTCGGAGCCAATTCGGTTCACTTGCGACATGAGACTAAAATCCTCGTTACAGCTTAAAGGCCACTACCAAAATACCCCTCTTACTCTAGAAAGTAAGAACGTCCCCATACTTAAGTCTCAAAATATGCGAACGCAGTTAAAAACAGGGTCGGAACATTCCGTTTTAGTTGCTTTTTTTAGACAGTGCAACTTTGATCCATTTCAGATGGATCTACCTAAAACTCTCCCTACCTCAACATACCAAGTATAAAACACACTCAAGAAAACTAAATTGGGTACTTACATACCAGCAAACTCGAGAATTGGAGTAACTAAATTAATCAGCAACTCTAGCATTAAAGGGAATTAAGTTTTAACTCGAGAAGTTTGTAATTAATGACTTTCTGCAAAGGAAATGAGTTTAACTTGAGAATTGAGTCTTTGGGGCTGGACCATTGGGAGACTTCGTTTGTCCACCTTTCCACCGAAGGTTCACTCTGGTCCACTTCTTATTGATATCTTCTTCTTTCGTAATCGTTCTGTCTCCTATTTCAGGATAAGACAGCTCTACTCTAGTATGATATTATATCTGGAAATTGCGAATAGCAATTTCCCGCTGTTTTTTTTCGATTACTTTCCCGCGATTGTAATTCGGTTGTTCTGATCTTATATTTCTGAGATTTTCAGTTGTCGCGAGAAAGTTGAACATGACATGCTCTATTCGAATTTTTGAAAAATTCCATTTCACCCCAAAATCACGTTGTTGGTTTTGCTCAAGGTCAAACTTCCAAATATGACCGACTGGCACAGATCACTTGATCATTTGATAGTTCCACTCTCAACAAACTCAAAAACCTTAGCATTTTTGGCACACGCAGACCAGAGTTAACGACCTTGAATGCTCAAGGTCAAACTTCCAAATATGACCGACTGGCACAGATCACTTGATCGTTTGATAGTTTCACTCTCAACAAACTCAAAAACCTTAGCATTTTTGGCACACGTAGACCAGAGTTAACGACCTTGCCTAGGGCGGCAATGGATCGAATCCGACAAGGACCTGACTGTTTAAATGGAAAGTTTCCCCTTTCAAAAAAATTTTCGGCCTATCGTAGTCTGTGTCTGTTTTGTCGGCTTAGTTGCCATGTCGCGGCCTTTTCTAGTAGTCTAAACAATTTAAGTTGTATTCAAAATGTTTCTGATCTATTTGATTATGCATAATTGTTCCGACCATTTGAAAAATGTAGATCAACTTTGTATTCGGGTGTCTTTTAGTTTTTTGTTTTCCACGCAAAATCAGGTACCACAAATAATCATCAGAATGAATCGAGTGACGTATCATATTGTTTTTGAATATTTTTCCAAGTTATGTTTATAAACCTAGGTTGTTAGTGAGTTGTTTACTATGAGCGTTTTTTTGAGACGCTACGAGCTGTTTTTAAGGCTACTGAAAAACTTATTCGATGTAGTTTTGTCCCATTGCGTCAGATTGAGTCAAACAACTAATAAATTTTCCATTTTTTGAAGGTGATATCTTTTAAAAACTTTGTTGGAAACAGTTTGCCTCTGATCAATTTTGATTTCAAAAAATGTTAATCGACTGAAATTTTATTTATTAAAGAATTATTTTTTGCAATTAAACGTGTTTACACTTGCGAAGCAATGTGTTATAGTACGAACTTTCTTTTTTTCCAACCTAAGTCGCAAATATTGTTGCGAATTTTGTTGCGACTTAAAGCAACAGTATTTGCTGCATTGAATTGGCAATGCAAAATGATTGGCAATGTGTTGAACTTTTACAGCTTATTGATAACATGTGCTTTGACATTCGAATAGTTATAAGTTTACACAATTGATGCATTTTTAATTCGTCAAGTGAACCGAGGAAAGCTATTTGTTTCAAACAACATAACAATTATCTCAATATATTTCGCAATTTTTTAAAATGCATAGTTTATGCATAATGTGGCTTTATGATTTGCGATTTATTACATGCAAAATTGTATCTTTTTGTATCTGGTGCTACTTTTGTTGCATCGAATTGACAATTTATTAGCATATGTAGCTGCGTTATTGGTGGCTGTTTTTTGGTGATTTTAAGCATCCGTGACTGAATGGTTAGTGTGTGAGACTCAAATTTGCTTCGCCTCTGTTACACTTGCGAAGCGAGTGTATTAGTACAAACCTTCTTTTTTTCCAACCTAAGTCGCAAATATTAGAGCCAATTTAGGGGCATCCTTACAGCTTTTTCATAGCATGTGCTGTTACATTCAAATAGTAATAAGGTAACACAGTTGATGCATTTTTAATTCATTAAATGAGCCGGAAAAAAAGTGATTTGTTTCAAACAACATAACAATAATGAAAACTCGTTTTCAAAAGTTTTCTAATTCAATGTATTTCGCAATTTTTTGAAATACATCATGTATACATAATATGGCTTTATGCTTTGCGATTTCTTACATGCAAAGTTAGTGTGGATGCCTTCAGTTTGTTATATTCCAAATTTTTACTTGCAAAATTGAGTCTATATCTATTTGGTTGCCACTTATGCTGAAAGGCATTGGCAATTTTTTTTAGCATATGTAGCTGATTTGTTCGTGACAATTAATTGTCGGCTGAGTGGATAGTGCGTGACACTCAAAATATCTTGATTGCAATAGGTCGCAGATTCGAATCCGGCACGTAGCCGAGATTTTGCTAATTCGAGGCTTATTTCTACTTTTTCTTATTGCATCTGATAGAGCTGCTTTTTGGTCGTGTTCGCGCAGCTTCGCCTCTGTGTTTAATTTGTCCTGGCGCATTTTTATATCATAATTATAATCGAAATGCGTTTCTGTGTATGTAAAGGTCACAAAAACATCGTTTTCTAATTTCGAAAGTGGATTTTGTTTTTCCAAGCGGAATAAAAACACATCTATGGATCCAGTTTTCTCAAATTGAGTCAATTTTTTTTTCAAAAAGTGTCAATCATAATCGAGAGTATTGAACGAGCGAAGACTCTTTTATAGGTCTTGCTGATTTTTTTGCTTTTTTTTCAAGAAAAGTCTCTAATAACTACAGATGTGCATTAATAAATATTGGTACATTCATGAATGCACCTAGGTATATATGCCTTTTTCGAGTTCAATTGAAATTCATCTGCTGAAAGTGACGTAAATAGCACTCTCCAAATACGAGTTTGGAAATGGCGCAAAAAACGTGAACGATTTCTAGTTTCGAAAAAGGAACTGAATTTTTAGATTTCCAGCGGAACAAAATTTTTACCTATTTATCCAGTTTGATCTAGCTGCGTTCATGTTATCAAAAAAGCGCCAATCATAAATTAACTTAGAATTTCAAAGAGCTTAAAGGGCAGCTTTTTTTTTCTTCGAAATTCGAAAGTTGAGATTGAAATTCGAATGTTGTGAAAGTTGAAATTCGAAAGTTGAGAAAGTTCATTACTTTTTTTCCAATCTTCGATTGGCAATATTTTCTTTTTGAAATTCAAAGAGGTTTAAGGCCATGTGTTTCACTTTGAAATTCGAATGGTGAAGTTTTTCTTTACAAAAAAAAACAAGTCAGTTTTGTGTTTCCTTGCGTTCACTGACTCTTTTCCAACTGTCTGGTGCCTATGTTTGCCTTATTTACAAAGTGCAGCTCCAAGTATTTTATGCGGTTTTAGTTTGTGTATGCGAGGTGTTACTTTGTTCTTTAAGATTCTCCTGCAAAGCGGAGACTGTGATGGAGGTATTACACAATGCACGAGTGTTGAAGCTCTCAGACGTCATGCAAAACTGTCTTGTCTACTTGTGTCAAAACATGACTGTCCTCCAATGCATTCCAACATACCAGATGGCACTTCAATACAATTATTTTCCACTTGTGGCTTCTTGTAAACAGATTGTACTGAACAAGTTTTCGGAATTGTTGGTGACTAAACATTTCTTGGAAATGAGTCCTGTTTTGCTGTGTCAGATGTTGAGCGACGACAATCTCAAAATTCGTTAGTTTAAACTGAATCGTTTTGCTGGCTTAGAATGTTTAAAATAATTTGATCGGCAAGCAGTTCTAACAAAATAGGACAAAAGTTTCGACAAATTTCGTGAACTTTTTGCCTAATAAAGTGTCAATCGGCGTTTTTTGTTCAACTAATTGAATAATTTCAGCGAGTATTCTAACTGATTTAAAGACATTAAAATATGGAAAATTGTTCGGATTCAAAGTGTCCAAATTTAATAATTGTTTCTTTCCACTCGAAAATATTTCTCTCCCTTTTTAATCTCTTCTCTCTTATTTAATTAACGTTACTGGATCAATTGAGCAACCTCCCACGCCCCATTCTCGCGTAGGGGAGAGATAGCTCAATTGGGACTTAAGACTTGTTTATAACCACTTGAAAAAAAGTAATTTGAATGATATGAAATCATGAGCCAGATTCTCCAACGAATGTGGAAGACCAAAATTTCCTTCAAAAATATTACAAAAACTGATGCACATAAAGCCGACTTTTTCTGTCCTAATTGAGGTGCTGCGGAGAACATTTTTTGGTATTTAGATAAGGCTAAAGCACCAACCCTGGTAACTTTCCTCGAGGCAATGGTCGCCTAACCTCTGTGTAATAACCTCTTCTAGCCTCAATATAATACGAAGTAATACTGTTTTTAATCTTGGAGTCGTTTGCAGATACCTTGGTGTTTGAATTGATACAAACTGATTATTTCACATTCATATCCAAAAAGTTAAAACAAAATTGGGTAGACATTGCGGAGTTCTTTCAAAAATGAGACATCAGCTCCTAAAGCAGTGCTGTTGAAGTAAAACTATTAAAACGTCAAAGCAAGAAGACAATATGGCTTGTTGGTTTACGGTGGTACTAGTTATACAATATTAAACCAAATTTTAATGATGCAATGAAAAATTCTTAGAATAAAATTCTTAAATATTTCAATAAATTGTTCCCCTAAAGATAACAAATTGAAATTTTTAATTGAATGCTACCAGAGCCTGATTTCAGGTTACGAATCTATCCTGAAAATATTTGCGTTGTGGTCTGAAAATATTGAGCTTGTAAGTTGAGATTTCAAATTGATTGAGAATTCGATCTTTTCAAAAAAATTGTTTAATTTCCTTGTTTTCAATATCTAAAACATAAGCATAAATTCATGGCAATACGATCATATTGTGCAGCCTTAAGTTAACATTGACGTATTTGTAAATGTAGGAGTTTTCCTAAAAATAAGTAATTGAATAGAAGAAAAATATATATTATAATAATGATTTTTTGAGGATTTGTTTGAAATCAAAAATTTTTTTTACTCTCAAGGGTAGACTCTCAGTGGGTATTTATTTTGCCGCTCGTCCCTCCTCTCCTTTGTCACTTTGTTTTTTCATGTTTGACGATGTTGTATAAAAAATTGATTTGAGAGAAATAAATTCTATCTTGCTTTCCTGTACAAAAATTCGCAAATTTCGATGTTTTCTCAAAAATTTTTCTCGACCCTTATAAAGCTAAAAATTCAGTCAATCTATTGATTGCCCAATTGATCCTCGTTACTTAGCTATTGGAAATCTTAATGTTTTCTGCTGTTCCTGGAATTTCTGTAGCAATTTTTCCTGAGCTTAGTTACCAGTTTAATTAATGGCCTTTTATTTTCAGCTGATGAAAAGCTTGCAATGCGGGCGGTCATAAAATGGATCATGCATGATATAACAGTTCGAAAATCTCTGGCTGACCGAATGCTGGCGTCTATTCGATTCTCGTACATCAATACTTCTGACTTCCTCACAGAACTGGACAAATGCAAGGACGTAGTTTATCTGAAGGAGAGATTCGAAGCGTGTCAAGTTTTCAAATCAGACAAGTCACTTCTTAGTGGAGCTTTTTCGCTTTCATTCGAATCAAATATAGGCAAAGATGGTAGCCAAAAATTCCCAGAACTAGTTTCGATGCAACATATTCCAAGAAAGAGTTACAGACCCAAAATAATTTTAACTGGTGGAGTTTCATCGTACAGAAATTCAATTATAGATTGGTGTGACAACTACGATCTATTTGCTCATTCGTGGTCACAGAGCAACAGATTGGCCATCAGTAGAAGTGGTCATTGTATGGTCCATTTCGACCACAGACTGCTGTTTTTAATAGGCGGTCAGAGGTCGCCCGATGAATTCTTGAACTCAGTTGAAATTTATGATTCCGCAGACGATAGATTTAGGCCAACGCCAAGTACGCAAAGTCTGCTAAAAGCTAGAAAGTGGTTCAATGCGGTGCAATATGGTCGAAATGTATACGTTGTTGGAGGTTACTCGGGCGACGGTCCCTTGGACTCAATTGAAACATATAGTCCAAAAACAGCAAATTCCAGCTGGACTAGTTTTGCTGCTTTGGACGTTGCGATCTTTTCTTTTGGCTCAGTAGTGCTCGGACAGGAGTTGTTCATCTCTGGAGGTGTGATAAATAGTTCGAACTCTGAAGAGCTGAGGAGTTTTTGCTTCAAGAGCAAGAAAGTATCCCAGAGGAGTTCGATGCACTTGAAGCGTAGTCAGCATTGTCTAGTTGCAGTGAAAGATTGCCTCTATGCAATCGGAGGTCGAAATTGTTCGGAGGGTGTTTTAAAGTCTGTTGAGAGGTACTCTATAATGGATGTAAGTATAACCTTCAACTTTGATTTTTTATCGCATCAAAAGAGCCAAATTGCTGCAAACAATGTTAACTTGAAGCAGCGTAAATTAAGTTGCTAAAAACTGTTTTTTTTTGCTTTCTAATAATTGCTCCGATTAGTGGCAATGACAGTTTTGGTTGATATGGTCCATAAAACCTAGTATAGATTTTTGGTTTCATAATCTTTAGCGGAGTGGTTATTATCATTCTTGCCTTAAAGTCATAAGCACGAACCAATTCTTATTTAAGGATGCTTGGACCAAAGTTAGCGCTATGAGTTCTGCCCGTGCTGGTGCCTGTGCAGTCGTGTTTGATGGTCTCATCTACGTTTTTGGAGGCAGAGCTCACTTGAGTATTCCAGTTGCAACCACCAGAAAAGGTGCAAATGGAGGAATCGTTGACCCCGAAATGGAAGTGTATGACCCCATGACTAATCAGTGGAACTTTTTGCCTGTAGACAATAATAATGCTAATCAGTTTGCAGGAAGGAGTTACGCTGCAGCAGTTTTAATGCAGCCGTTGATAAACAGCTCTTAAAACCTGAACTTTCAGTTGTATAAAATATAAATTTTGAAAATACTTTATTGGTTTAGCTTTTGCAAATCTATTTAAGCTATAAAACTGAGTGGTATGGTAGTGTTTCATATATATCTAACAGTTGATTTTTAAGCAAACACGTATATCAAATACTTACTATTACTTTTTTGGTTCGAAATAAGAATCCGTTTTCTACCAACGGATTAGTTTTCGAGTTTTCAGTTCTCGGGTAATGGGAGTTCTAATATAATCAATGGCGGATCTAGGATTTTCTCGAGGGGGAATTTTTTGATGAAATTATATGCGCCACAGGCGACTTTTGAAAAAATAAGCTGGGCAAAATTCATGAAAAATTTTTACCAAAAAATTGCGTTTTTGGCGGCGCTCACTCCCACTCAAAATTTGAAAGAAAAGTTGAAAAATTTTAGGGTCGGTCAGCCAAAACTGGATGTCTATCATCTACTGCATATAGTATACAATTTTTCGGTGCACTGCCCTTGTGTTTACTTTCAGTTTTAATATAGCTAATAAATTAGAAGTTATGTAATGTTTTGTCTATTCCTTTACATTGTCATAATCTATTTTGGATCAGGGCTCAACCGGAGTGAAAATTACAGACGATTTTTCGTGTCAGAGCGAAGCCGTAAATTTTCCAATTGCTATTTAATTAGTCTGATGTAGCTTTTGTCAAATAAAATGGAAAAGAGTTTGAAAGCTTTCAAATTTTGGAAAATCATCTGACACGCAATGACAAGTACAAAGTGATTACCTATGCAATTGGCAAGTGTGTTCAAAACGGGCACTAGTTTTCCCCCTTAGTAGATGGATCAATTTAGTAGGTAAGTAAATTTCACGCACACGTTTGAGACCGTAATTATGCATTCAAATATTTTTTTTTCGAAAAAAAGAAGGTTTTTAACAGTGTTTTCAGATTCGTGGTTTTCGTTGTAGTGTCGGTCAGTTTATTTTCCGTTTTAATTTACCGGTTTAAATGTCATTATCTGGTACTGTTTTTATCGGTTTACTTTCTAAAGCTTGAGTGTTTGTTTTGATTTGAACAGTTTTTAATTTACAAGTAATGAACGTAGTGAGTACTCTTCCATAGATCTTGGTGAATTTTTCAGAAAAAGTCGCTCAGTCAAAATTTGTTCACGTTCAGCTTTGATTTTTGATTTCTTCTAAAATTCACTGAATTTCTTTTGTTGAGGGGAAGGCAAACTCCACTATCGAACAGCAAAATTTAAAAGTCAGGAAAAACGGAACGACTTCTTATTTCGAAAATGGAGTTTAATTGTCAGATTACCCAGCGAGATAAAAACTGAACCTACTGATCCAGGTTTCTCAAATTGGGTTAATTTTATCAAAAAATTACCACTCATAAATTCAATGTTCATGGAACATAAAGAGCTTTAAGAGCATATATATTTTTCCAAAGTAAGTTGAAATTTTTCCAAAAAGAAGTCACTTCTGTTTCTATGCGTTCCTTACTCTTTTCCAACCGTTCATTGGCTTTGGTTTTGTATATTAAACTTGTCTGATTTTATTAACTTTGTTTGAAATTGTTTGTTTTATTCATTGGTGTCGGCTAATTTTTATCCTCTTAATCTACTAATATTGCGTAGTTTCGAGAGAAAATAAATGATTCTGTGTTTCAGTGCGAATGAGATGTAAAACTATTTCAAACTTTGGAGATTTTTGATTTTGCGCCGAGAAGTTTTGACTTTGAGACGGGTTATGAATATCTGTCAGATATTTCGACTTGTGATGATTACAAATCGAAATTTGCCGGACAAAAAAAAACAAGGAGCACAAATATTCCATCAACGATAAGTACACAGATTAACGATTGCTAAACAATTTACGCCAAGAGATGTATGTGCATGGGGGCGCCACTTAGGTTCATTTAAGTTCAAATTTTTGTATTATCTAACAATTATTTCGACCAATACTCTGCTTTTTGGAATATATTGAACTGGCAAAAATAGATGCCATGTTTTTCATTTATTGTTCGTGGAATTTCTACACAAGCCAGGACTATGCTATAACATGAGTCTAATTTTTCCAATTATTTTAACTCATTTTGTAGCTACAATCAGTAGCATCATTTATAGCAACAAAATTTTAGCGGCACGTAATTTTTGTGAGGTTTTCCTACCTAATTATGAGCGAACTTGTGAATAAAAAACCGTAAATGATTGAGGAAAATTAACAGCTCGAAGCTGGAGGATCTGGTTTTCAACACTGCAAAGTTCAGTAACTCTTGTTTATTGAAAAGTTCAACAACTCTTGTTGTTTTTTGTTCTGAAGGTCTATTTTCGTTTTCTGACTATCAGAGAATAATGGAAAGTTAGTGGCTTGGGAATTTTTCAGACGATTTCTGAACAGGTGATTTTATGGTAATAAATTTTTAACTCAGTTTTGTTGCTCTGAGCTCTAAGTTATATTCATACACCTCAACCTCAAGTTTTTTTTCTAGGTTAGTCTTAGAGAAAAATCATAAAACTTCCAAAAAACAAAATTGACATTTCCGAAGATAATTTTTTTTACAAAACAGCGTTTCTGGCTTATTAAGCCAAGAAGCCGTCAGACTATGATTTCTTTTGAACCACTAATCTGAGAATTAGCAGCGAAGTTGAAGATAAAAGTCAACAATTTTCAAAAAACATTCTACACATAGATATCATGTTGCCGCTTACGCACTGAGGTTTCCCATAATTTTTTGCTTCAAATTTGGCAGGTCAGTCAAATATTTTCCAAAAATATGTCAAAGTCATGATTTGTTTGAAAGACAAAGTTGATTTTCCACAAAATTAAGGTCTTTTTCGCTTACGCATGGGAGAATCTAAACAATCTGTTTGCTCAATGGAACTTTAGTTGTCAGATTTTCAGAGGTTGATTTTCAGATTAGTAGATTTCAGAGGTTGTTTTTGAATTGAAAAGAAAGTTTCATAAAACGGTTAAAATGGAAAAAAAATTAATTTAAAAATTAGGGTATATCATATTGCACCAAGAAGAATATCTTAGACTATTCTCTCGATTGATTCTTACCTTAAATTTCGAAGAGTTGTTTTGAGAAAAGTTGAAGTCTTACAAAAACGGTCAAAATAATGCCCCGGCGTTTTTAAGAGGTATAACTTTAAGTGTAAAAAGTAAGTATTATAGTAAAAGTGGCTAGGAAAATGACCACTTTTAACCCCCCCCCCCCAAAATTCGGTGTGCCGTTGTACTTACCACTTTTAACCCCCAAAGGGGTTAAAGCCCCTACTTTTTCGGGCACGCATGTTTCAAGGGGGGTTAAAATTGGTAATTTTCCAGCCACTTTATGGAAACGGGAAAGGAATTAAGTTTTGGTTGGTGCATGTTTTCCCTTCTAAAGTTTGGGGGTATTGGCTTGTTTACATGTAAAATGACGTTATATACCTATTATATGCAACCAAACTATATGGTATATAGGAAAGCCAATATTTTGGCAGCGTAGCTTAACTGTTGGCTGCGGTGAACGATTTCCTTCAAAAATGCATGTTTTATTGCTCAATCTCGAAGAATTGAAAATTCGTCAAGTGCGGCGGCCGCCACCTCTATTTAGGCAAAAATGAATGATCTATTTGAAAAAAATAAGTATTACTTACCCGAAAGTTGAGTTCGTCGAAGGATTGGTAATAATAATCATAATAAACAAAATAAAGAAAATAAGAAAGGGGGATGTTGAGGAAAGGGGCTAAAAAAAATTTGGTAAAAAAACCTCTTCTTTATAAGAAGAGGTAAGAATAAATAGAGGCTGCTGGGCTGTCCATCAGCACCAGCAGATCGGAAGGCCTGTAGGCAATCCAACCCCCGAGGGCGACCACGTCCCTGAGTTGCTTCGTCCGGGGGAGGGGTTTCCCCTTGGCTCACTGGCGCGGTTTGACCCAGAGCTCCTTCACCACTAGGACCTCAGGATCGGGCCCAGCCTTATATCGGACGTGAATTTCTTCAACTGGAATGTTTACGAGCACTAGTCCCCCGAAAGGGACTTTTACAGTTTCGATGTATGATGGCATCTAAAACAAGCAAATTATCATTTTAAATCACATGAAATTGATCATCAAATAAAAACTTTTGGAACAGCAGGTTTCGAAAGGTGATAATTGTGCTAAGTTTTTTCTAAATTTTCCCCGAGTTTAAAATACGCTTATCACGAAAACACAGACAGAATAAATTGTACTTTTAGCTGCGTGTTATTTTCAACCAGTTTAGAAATTTTGAGTTTGATTTGGAAACAAAAACTGGTAAAAACATTTGATTTGTCGAAAACTACTTTTGAAATTGACTAGATTTGACTTCTTGTTTGACTTTGTCACTAAGCTGATTGTAAGAAAAAATAAAGCGCAGACTGAAAATTTATGTTTTCTAAAATGTTAAAAATATATGAAAAAGGCTGATGGTCTAATTCAATGTATATCACCGAGTTGTAGATATCAGCTGTTGGCATCTAAACGGTTACTTTTATTTCCACTGTTTTGAAATTCAGCAGGCTCGAAGAGTGTTGGAAGAAAAATGAAATTGGAAAAACGTAGAGTTACCTCAACAGATTTGGAAATCATTCATGAGATTTATTTGACTGTGTAAAAAACCTATCCGGAAAATTCTGACCGTCGGAATTACTTTCTGGCTGCATGTTCTGTTTTTCTTTTCCAGTGAAAACGATTTAAATTATGACGTAGCTATTAAACTTAGGCCATATGGAGGTCTTATTGGCATAGACGACTCTTCCTTGGACAAATATTTAAAAGATTCAAAAATACTACGTCTGCATGAAATTTTACATGACGCTGCAGGTTTTGTTGACGAAGTTTACAACACGGGTCCCACTTACTGCTATATGTTACCCTGGAAGTGTAACAGCAGTCTGATTGGTCATTTGAGCGGTATTACTTTCTGTTATTCGTCACACTAATCAGTCCAGAACTCTATCAGTTTTAGAATGTTGAGCGAACGATCAGTCGTCATAGATTTGGAAGGATTTCATTATAAAAAAGTACCTTTATAGTTAAAGAAATAGCCATTACGACTTCTGAATATAGCGACTCTCTTATTTTTCTACCTCCAGTCCCTTTCAACTCACTACCCAAAGCTGAACAAAAAGCGTACAACTGGTTAACACAATACTTGCACGGAATTCACTGGGAAAGCGGAGATTATTTATATTTAAACCTCAATCAGATTATTCAAAGTTTTGTTTTGAGAAATCCTAACGCTGTATTTTACGCCAAAGGAAAAGAGAAGGCTGAACTCCTTGCAAAGTACTTGGATCGAGAAGTTATGAATCTTGATGAATTGGGTTGCCCGAGAAATGAAAACTTACTTTTAAAGAATTATCCATCTTGCAATAGACATTTACAACCTAATTATAACTCTAGAAATCACTGTTCCCTGAAAAAACGAAGGTCTTTTTTGATTGGCTGACAAATGAGCAACAACGAAAGACTAGCAAAAGCGGAGACGTACCTATCTCCAAATTTAGTGTTCTTGGCTTGGATGACACCAGAAAGTGATATCAAAATAACTTTGACCAGAACAGAACAAATCAATTGCCGAAGTCAAGTTGTGCAGCGGAAAGGACAAATTACTCTCTCAGGAGACGAATTGACTATTTTAAGAAATTTTTTCCCAGTATAGTCAAAATGTTGGCCAACAAACGAGGAGTGTGTCTTCCCAGACTAGTCTTAGTGCCCAAACGTCAACCCGGAGTTCAAATGGATCTTCAAAGCAGAGACCTACCTGAGGAAGTTCAGAAACTAGTAAAAGAGAACTCTGTAAAGAAAGTTGTATTTCATGCAAAAACTGAATATGTGCCAGCCAATTATGTTGTGGAAATGCTGCATGACAATGACATAACTAATGACTCCAGAAGTTATACTCGATACGAGATTTTTTATTGTTCTGGAGTATAGATAATACATATTTTATGACAAGAACACATTTTTTCATTCTCATTAAGAAACTAGTGTTATAGATAGAGAGAAGTTAGAAAGAACCAGTTAGAGAGAGAAATATAAATCGAACAACTGAATGACTGAATTAGCTATTGATGAGCCTGATGCTACTATAGTTACCGATTTTGCTTATGATCAAACAAACACTGAACAAAAATCTTGGAAGTTTTGTAATGATGTTACAGTCCCCAGATCAGAAGTAGTTTATATGTCTCAAATGATTTTAATTTTCATTTTACTTACTTTTTGCATCTATAAATTTTCTTGGACGCAAATAAGCTGTGAAGAAACGTCAGTTTAGTTTTCAATATTGTCTGGTTTAGTTGGGTACGTGCTACCAAACCCAAGGATATGAATAAAATTATTGATACGTCGACAAGACTGTTTATGGCAGTTGTAGGACCGTCAGGATCCGGAAAAACAGTGTTGATTTTCAAGCTATTGACAGGAAGATCATTTTATCCCAAATTTGAAAGAGTGTTATTTTTTTTACAAAGATATTCAACCTGTAGTTATGGACGAAATAAACGCTCGCAGAATTCATATTGAATTTGTAAAATTTGACGGATTCGATCGTTTGAGAAACATTGAAAACATTCTGTTAGTGTTTGATGACTCATGCGAAGAAATGATAAAGAATTTGTTAAATTAGCAACAGCAGGAAGACACAGGGGCTTAGATGTTATTTATGTTAAACATAATTTATTCCAACAAAGCCGATGGTCCCGAACTATTGATTTGAACACATCTCACATCATTTTATTCAAATCACCTCGTGATATTCAGCAACTTGATCACCTCGGAAGGCAACTTAATGCACCTAAATTATTACGTCAATCGTATGAACTGGCTACAAAGGACAGCTTCGGACATCTATTAATAGATTTAGATCCCCGAACATCAGACTGTCTCAGATACTGTTCAAACATAATACCACCTGGTCCGTCAATTTTCTATTTACCTTTAGATAAAGCAGAAGTGACACCCATCACAAATGAACGCGAAAAAATTATTTATTCTGCAGCACATGGTACAGTTGAACCCAACTCAACTACGAGGCTTCATTAGAAAAAAAAACATCAAATAGTCAAATCATATCAGTTGTTTGTGAATGCTTGCTCAATGTAGTCAACGGTAATGTGCCTGTCAGTATCCCAAACCTCAATAAATTCGAAACAGCATACAAAATTTTAATCAATCCAAAAACGAGTCCTGAAAAAAACGAGCTATTATACTGAGCAAACACGGATTTTATCTAATCAGATAAATACTTTATTTTTGCTTGAAGTATTTGACTGCATGGAAATGGCAGCAGAAGAATTTGGTCTAATTCCAAAGCATATGTACATCAGCGATCAACCACATGCAGCACAGATTTTGCTTGACAACTCAATCAAACACAAGAAACCGCAACTATCATATTTGAACCGTTTGAGACCACTAAATGAATCAGCAAGAACAACAACATCAGCTATTGATACGCCAGCAGTCATTCCCCCAACCCCTGAACCACCTATCGTTGCCAAGGCAGAAAACAATCCACAAAAACAAGCTCTCCTTCTCACTTCTGTAGACGATGATGATGATGATGATGGTGATGATGATGATGATGATGAAGGTAACGAGATGGAAAAAAGTGTTGAGCTTAGTGAGGCATTATCCACAGAACGTATCCTGTTACAATTACAGCTCATGGACGAACACTAACTTAAGCGAGCGAAAAAAGTTCTTGAAGCTATTAAAAAGTCAGAGAGTCAAAATAAAGAAAGATAATGAAGAAATTTACGTTGATAAAGTGCCAACCGGTCTTAAAGCATCAGTTTAATCAGATTTTAATTTTCATTTTACTTACTTTTTGCATCTATAAATTTTCTTGGACGCAAATAAGCTGTGAAGAAACGTCAGTTTGGTTTTCAATATTGTCTGGTTTAGTTGGGTACGTGCTACCAAACCCAAGGATATGAATAAAATTATTGATACGTCGACAAGACTGTTTATGGCAGTTTTAGGACCGTCAGGATCCGGAAAAACAGAGTTGATTTTCAAGCTATTGACAGGAAGATCATTTTATCCCAAATTTGAAAGAGTGTTATTTTTTTTACAAAGATATTCAACCTGTAGTTATGGACGAAATAAACGCTCGCAGAATTCATATTAAATTTGTAAAATTTGACGGATTCGATCGTTTGAGAAACATTGAAAACATTCTGTTAGTGTTTGATGACTCATGCGAAGAAATGATAAAGAATTTGTTAAATTAGCAACAGCAGGAAGACACAGGGGCTTAGATGTTATTTATGTTAAACATAATTTATTCCAACAAAGCCGATGGTCCCGAACTATTGATTTGAACACATCTCACATCATTTTATTCAAATCACCTCGTGATATTCAGCAACTTGATCACCTCGGAAGGCAACTTAATGCACCTAAATTATTACGTCAATCGTATGAACTGGCTACAAAGGACAGCTTCGGACATCTATTAATAGATTTAGATCCCCGAACATCAGACTGTCTCAGATACTGTTCAAACATAATACCACCTGGTCCGTCAATTTTCTATTTACCTTTAGATAAAGCAGAAGTGACACCCATCACAAATGAACGCGAAAAAATTATTTATTCTGCAGCACATGATACAGTTGAACCCAACTCAACTACGAGGCTTCATTAGAAAAAAAAACATCAAATAGTCAAATCATATCAGTTGTTTGTGAATGCTTGCTCAATGTAGTCAACGGTAATGTGCCTGTCAGTATCCCAAACCTCAATAAATTCGAAACAGCATACAAAATTTTAATCAATCCAAAAACGAGTCCTGAAAAAAACGAGCTATTATACTGAGCAAACACGGATTTTATCTTATCAGATAAATACTTTATTTTTGCTTGAAGTATTTGACTGCATGCAAATGGCAGCAGAAGAATTTGGTCTAATTCCAAAGCATATGTACATCAGAGATCAACCACATGCAGCACAGATTTTGCTTGACAACTCAATCAAACACAAGAAACCGCAACTATCATATTTGAACCGTTTGAGACCACTAAATGAATCAGCAAGAACAACAACATCAGCTATTGATACGCCAGCAGTCATTCCCCCAACCCCTGAACCACCTATCGTTGCCAAGGCAGAAAACAATCCACAAAAACAAGCTCTCCTTCTCACTTCTGTAGACGATGATGATGATGATGATGGTGATGATGATGATGATGAAGGTAACGAGATGGAAAAAAGTGTTGAGCTTAGTGAGGCATTATCCACAGAACGTATCCTGTTACAATTACAGCTCATGGACGAACACTAACTTAAGCGAGCGAAAAAAGTTCTTGAAGCTATTAAAAAGTCAGAGAGAGTCAAAATAAAGAAAGATAATGAAGAAATTTACGTTGATAAAGTGCCAACCGGTCTTAAAGCATCAGTTTTTCTGTATGATATACAACAACAAACTAAAAAACTTTACAACCCTGCTTTTATACTGATTTTGAGGTCACTCAAACTTGATGAACGGTTGGTTATGAACAAGTATGCCAAAGTCGCGGTTCAGTCAACGAATACGGAACAAGCTCAACAGAAGCAAAGAAGCAGAGGTTCCACAAATTCCGCTTCGAAATCTACAGCCCTCCTCCTCCTTTCTCCCGAGAAGAAACCTTCGTCGTCGTCGTCGACGACCTCAAGAAGTGCCACCTCAAAAAGCAGTAAGAGACGCAAAACCAGAAAGACTGTTGCAGACAGTGAAAGAGAACGGTCACCGCAAAAAACCAAACGAGAAGAAGGTGCAGCAGAAGAAGAAGACTCCGAGTCGTACGAAACGCCCGATAACGATTCAGATTCTGCAACGACAGAGAAGAAGAAGACAAAAACAAACAAAAAATGGCAAGATTACACCAGCTGAAGAAAAAATATTGAAAACTAAATTTACAAGTAAAGGTCCAGCATTGTTTGGCAGTGTACAGAATTTGAAAGAGGAATCAAAACTTTCACAAAGTAAAATGAAACGTTTTTCACATACAGAGCCAGCATATACAAAATATCGAACAGTTCGTCGCAAAACACCACGCCTCAAAGTGATAGTTTATGACATAGACGAAATATGGTCAATTGACCTGGCGTATGTTGATAACTTGCAGATTACAACAAAAACATTAAATATCTTATGGTTGCAGTGGATTGCATGTCCCGCTTTCTACGTGTACAACCATTGAAATCAAAGTATGCCACCTCAACTGCGGAAGCATTCAAACGAATGATAAAAACAAAACAGCCGAAAAAAGTTTGGGTAGATAAAGGCACAGAGTTCAAGGGGTCATTCAAAACTTTATGTGAGGAAAAGGACATCGAAACTTATACAACAGAGAGTGAAAAAAATCCGCTTTCGCGGAGAGGAACATTCGATCACTAAAGGGTTTGATTTATAAGTATTTGGAGGACAAATGGACCTACTCATACATCGATAAGCTTCAAGATTTTGTCAACACAATTAACTCGAGAACAAACCGCGTTACCAAAATCGCCCCGAATGAAGTTACCAAAAAGGACGTTCCACGTCTCATTTCATTAAGAGTGGAACAATCGCAGAAACTAGTACGCCGAGCAAAGCTCTACGTTGGTGATTTTGTTAGAATAGCAAAAATTGACCTTCCGTTTCGAAAAGGATACAAACAATCATTCACTGACGAAGTTTTTGAAATCTTTGACATCCCAACAAGAAACCCACCAACTTATAACCTCATCGACGCTGATAAGGAACCAATAGAGGGTAAATTTTATGAGCCTGAACTAATCAAGGTCTTGGAAAAGGAAGGATCAAACTAAACAATGTCTGACAACTTTATAAGCGAAAAAAATTCATTTACCATTACACTGGTGTCATCAGCCTGAATGAATATTTTCAATGACAACTCGCTAGCGAGCTTTAAAATTCTGCTAAGCGAAAATATCAATCTACAAGGTAAATGGAGAGTTGCATTGACAGAAATAACATTTCCCACTCATATTAACAATGTTACGGATACCACACTAGTGTACTACAAAAAAGACAAAGTTAAAGCAAGCCTTAAAGTGGCAAAAGAAAAAACATCTAGACCATATGATGGAGAAAAAGGTGAAATAACAAAGGGTGTTTATGACGAAATCGAGAAAATATTCAACAAAATCAATCGGAAGATTGATCTTGATAATATCAGTTATAGCATCGACCCCATTACCAAACATCTTTCAATGTGGATGCATTATTGGGAAGGCATTACTTTTGAAAGTCCACAAATTCCTAGTATTTTAGGTTTCAAAGGTTTAAGAGTTGGAACTGGTTACCATATCGGCTACAAAGAATCCAGTCATATCCATAGCACTCTCTTATCACAAAACATCATCTGTTGATATCTCTGCTGGAACCC